GGTGCTCGTGGTTCGCTGCAGCTGCACCTTCACAGAGCATTCTTTTGGCTCCGATTCGATGTGCAACAGTTTTCGGGATAGATACACCTCGAAGAAGATTTCGTACTGGCGGATGCACTTCTCGAGAATGGAGAATCCCCGCTGTTGTGTCGCTCGGCTCTCCTCGTCCAGCTGAAACTGCGGCGACTGATCTGGCGGAGCACTCATTGGCTCTTCTGCGCTAGGTCCATCTCCCACTTCCGTCGAAGCATTTGACTGAATCAGAACAATGTCCTTGGGTCGCTGCTTCTTGGGGCTTCGTATGAAAGGCACCTTTGCCTTGGCCTTCAGCTTCTTTATGCTCCGCGGGGTGTCCAGATCCGAGGATGACTGTGGTCCAGTGTCCGAGGCGCTGATCTGTATTCAAAATATGATTGTTAGTAAATTATCTTATTGTTTTTCTTTATTGCAGGGATCGTAATTCTTTTGATTTTAAAAATAAAAATCAAAAAATTAGTATTTTGATTTTTATAATAAAAATTGGAAAAAAGTATTATTTTAAATTTTTAAATACAACTTATTTTCAATTTATATAATACAATTTGGAGAATAGGATCTATTTTAAATTTTTATAATAAGAATTGGAGAATACGATTTTTTTAAATTTTTATTTTAAAAGCCCTTTTTTAAATTTTTGTAATAAAAATTAAAGAACAAGACTTATTTTTAATTTTTATTAAAAAATAAGATTTATTTTTAATTTTTATTATAAAAAAAAGGTTTAGTAAGTGTTATTATTCCCATATTTTTTGGACGCTGTTTTGGCTTTCAATTTAAAAAAAAAAATTTTTTTTGCAGTCCCTGCTTTATTTTAACATTCAATCAACATTACTCACATCCTTGTCCAACTCGGAGAGACGGGAAATTGACTTGGCCTTCTTCTTGTTGGGACTGTGACGACCCACGCTTTGATTGGACGCCGATCGCCGGATGAGCTCTTCGTCGTTGGGCTCGTGGCTGTGCAGCGTGTTCTCCGCAAACTGATTTAGCCGGGAATCGGATTTGCTCTTCTCCAGGGAACTGCCCTGTGCTCCGGCCTCCACTTTGCCGGTCTCACTCGCCGAATTCACCGTGATCTTCTCGTCCGACGAAGAGCCTCCGCTCTGCTCTATCAGCTTGTTCAGTTTTATGGGACTTCTGCGAAAGAAACAAAGAGATAAGCCGGTTACTGAGGATCGCCTGATTCTTTTGTGTTTCTATTTTTATTGTTTACGTTATCATGGGCTGCACCCGCGAGACGATCTTCATGCAGAGCTTCAGCGAAGCGGTGATCTCGCTGCTGCTCACGTGATCCATGTGCAGGGAAAGAAGCTGGGTGATGGCCAGGAACACCTTGGGCAGGTACACCCGGGTGGTTTCAGTGTACATCTCCAGAGAAACGGTTTCCAGAAGGAATTCTGTGAGCACGCAGATCTCCAGGACACAAGGATCACCGGATCCCACGTCGCATGCATACTTTCCGGAGGATTCGCCCGCCTGCGACTTTTCTTGCGCCGAGTTTGCCTGTTGGCAGGCTCTCTCGAACATGTTGGTCATGTAGCTCCAAATGTAGGCCGGATCGAAGGTGGCGAACAGCAGGTTGGCCGATTTCAAGGCCTCCGCATTGCCACTCGAGATGTACATGGCGCGTATTATGTCGTGCAGCACGTAATCCAGAACGGCGCTGCCAATCTCCGCCTTGTCGAGCAGGGACAGCATGATCCTGTAGGGCTTCAGGTCCATGGGAGCGCACTCCAGACTCAGTCTCAGCGTGGTAATTAAAGCTCTGATGAGAATGTGCCGCGAATGCCGGATGAAATACGGTTCTGGTTCCTCATCTAAGGGGACGTTTGAGGTGTCCAGCGATAGGGTGTCATAGGTGGGCGAGTTCTTGGCCACCTCGCTGCCCAGCAGCCAGCTAAAGAGTCTTCTATTCAGCGACATATCCCTGCGGAGAATGGTATTGAGCCCATTGGTCACCAGTTTCACCAGGTCGTCCTCCGAAAGCAGCGTCGTGTGCATGGGAAAGCCGAGCAGCAAGAACTCCAGCGTATTGCGCTGCACCAGAATCAGCGAATCGTTCAGGCAGACGCACAGGGCCGACATCATGATCTCCCTGTTGTGTCCCATAATGTAGATCTGCTCCTGCATGTCCAGTCGCTTGTTGAAGTGCTCCAGCAGGTAGGTGATGGCCGGCAGACGGATGGCCGCATTGTTGGCCACCGACTCCCAGAGGACCGTGTAAAAGTGCATGGGATTGACGGCATTGCAGACCTGCTTGAGCAGCGTGCTAATCCGCTCGAAGTGATCCAGTCCGCAGTCGTAGCCGGGCAGTACGCCATTCAGGAAGCCGCTCAGCGCGGGCCGCAGCTTGTCGCCCAGGGGCACGAAGTAGGTTTCATAGATGGTCAGCAGGGCGGGACGCACGTTCATGGCGGCGTAGCCAAGGAGCGGGAACAAGCCGGCGCTGTGAGGGGATACAAAACGAAGATTTAGTCAGGCAACCAATTGGGTTATATACGCCTCTAACCTGTATATAAACTCCGTGGCCAGGCGCTCCGGCCCTGTTTTGCTGAATATCACCGAGTAGGTCTCCAGGGCCTTCAGATGCACCCCGGAGGGCAGGGCGGGATGCATGCACTGGGCCAGACGCTTGGCTATCTTCAGTCGCCGGGGGATGACCTGGTACTGCGTATTGCTCGATATCGCCTGTCGAAAGGGAAGTCGGGGTGAATAATTTGAAAAACAAGAAAGGAAGCTAGTTTCGGCCAGCCGAAGCTTATATACCCTTGCAGATCATTATTTTTTTGATCCTTCCTTTGGGAGGTATATAATATAGTCCGAGTTTTGTTAAATTTAATTCGAAATTTTGAAATGTTAAAGAAATGCTCTATCCCAATGAAGAATGTAATAAAAATCAACCTAGATATAATTTTTTTCCTATTAATTTCCATTTAATTTTTCGACCGTTCCTATGTCAGCTATATGATATAGTGATCCGATTTTATTCGAAATTCAGAAATTATTAAAAAAATAATATTCCCAAGAGTAGAAGGTAATATTTAAAAAAAAACCGAAACTAGAATTTTTAACGTTTTTTTTTTCGATCTCTCCTATGGGAGCTATAAGATATAGTTGTCCGATCCGGTCGGTTCCGACGTATATATATACTACCTGCAATAGAAAAAAGACTTTTGGGAAAGTTTCAAGCCGATAGCTTCAAAACTGAGGGACTAGTTTGCGAAGAAACGGACGGACAGACGGACGGACAAACGGACATGGCTAGATCGACTCGTCTAGTGATGCTGATCAAGAATATATATACTTTGCGTTCCAAACTTCTGACTGAAATCATTATACCCTCTGCAAGGGTATTACAAGTAGCGATAAGAGGAACCCCCGGAAACCGCTGTGAGTCAGTTGCTCCCAGCTTATCGGGATTGCCACAGAGGGAGCTATACCTTGCTGAGTTTGCCCAGGGCCGATATCAAATCCGCCCATTCGCTGGAGTACTCGAAATTGCGCAGCGCCTTGTCTATGTTGGTCATGTAGGTGCGGTACTTGGCCTCCGCCATGAGCTTCTGCTCCTCGACGAGTGCGTCCGCGGACTCCATGTCGACGTCTTTTCGATGGTTTCAATGGTTTCCTGATCGCACGGCTCTGTGAATAATCAATGGCAAGCAATTAGCAAACACTTGTTGCTGCGTCCTTGAATTCCAACTCCCACACACTGTTTTTTTTTCCTCCTACTTTTCACTTAAATTTTGATGGGCTGCATATTTGAAAAGTGTGGCAGGCGGAGCACCTGTGAAAAACTGGGGATTCTTTTGTGCTCAAGCGTAACCACTTAATTGGAGGGGACTGCCAATTGACCCTATTTTATACTAGACGGCAATATCGGGTGGGAAAACTAATGTCGCGTGGCAGGAACAAAAAAAGAAAAATAATTTCTGAATAAATTTCAACTCTTTCTCTCTCCGCTGGCAAAGTGCAGTTAGGTCGGAGAGAGCGAAGAGAGAGGACCAGCTGATGACGAATATTCTGCTGTTTTCATGGATGTGGCATGGGGCGGGGGACGCGGGGGGCGCGTGACGGGTCAGACGTACGCTGTTGTTGTCGTCCGCTGGTCATTTTCACTTTTCAGATACCACTCACTAGTACTTAGTAGATCCCCCCTTACCGCAGCTAAAGTTAGTCCGTTTTAACACATTTTACATTGTCTAATATTGCACTTTTGTTTTCGTCTTGCATTTACATGGCAAATTTTTTGCTGTAACTCGCTAGCGATGGACCACCGATTGATAACCGTGACCGCTTCACCAGTATTCTTGTGCGGCGATAACAACGCAATTGCGTATTTCACAAATCTGCAAACTATTACAACACAAGCTTTAAAAACTTAATTTATAAATGGATTTAACCATTTTTAAACGTCTGTTTTGACCAAATAAAGAACTAATATAACAACACTTACCGTGACTACAAAAAATCACTTCGTGACAGATCACTAAGCCAAGTCATCGATAACCAGTCTTGTATTATTTAATCGAAATTCAAAATTCTTTGAAAGTCAACAGTTTTAGTTTGGCTCTTAATTTCAAATTTTATTATTATTTCTATTTCATAGAAAATTGTTCGACTTTAAGTTCGCCAAAGATAGAAACGATAATCTGGATATTGAGGGTACAAACCAAAATGGTTCTTGTTGAATTTTTAAACAGCTGTTATTTGTAGAAAAGTTTTACTGAACTTGACTGACTTATAGTAAAATAAGGTGTTGAATTGTCTAAATTTCTAAAAGTGATTAACAGCTGACCCAAAATACAACATTTTAGGGAAAACCCTAGATTTATTGCACCTTTGTTGGTCTGCCGGAACAGAATATTACCGCGATTGCAAAGAATCACTTCGCGAAAGATTACTTATCCACGTTATCGATAACCAGTCCTGTTCTATTTAATCGAGATTCAAAACTATATTCCTTTAAAAGTCAATAATTTTAATGTTTCCTTCACAATAACTCAATAAATTACTAACTGAATCATACTTCAAATAAATACGAAGGTTTGTTAAATGCAAGCGCATAACTTAAAAGAGATGAATAGAACTGTGCCAGTTCGTGACTAAAGATTTGCCATCGAATGCGTGATTAGAAGAGTTGAGGTAAAAATGTCCTGCGTGGCTATAGTTAGGATGTGACGGCGTCCAGGGTCTACTTCTTTTTCTTGCCCTTGCCCTGTCCACCGGCGGCTGGTGTTCCAGTCAGTGCCGCCAGCTCGTTTTTCAGGCCCAAGAGAATTTCAACTTGGGGTTTCCATACGGCGGCATCGCCAGTGGCCTTCAGGGTTCTGACCTTTTCGGCCTGCTGAGCGATTTTGTCTTCCAATGCTTTTACCTGGGCAGCATCTGCAGAGACGGCGGCTGAAGGAGCAGGAGCAGCGGCGGCGGGAGCTGCCTTCGCTGCCTTTTGAGCCGCCTCCAGTTGTTTCTTCAGGCCCAGCAGCACATTTACCTCTGGCTGCCACACGGCTTTGTCTTTTGTGCTGCCCTTAAGCTTTCGCACTTTGTCGCCCTGCTCCTGGATAGCCTTCTCCAGATCTTGAACCGTTTGTGATCCGTTTGAGGGAGCAGGAGCGGCGGCAGCAGCAGGCGCAGTCTTCTTAGCCTCCTCCAGTTGCTTTTTGAGCTCCAGCAATTTGTTCACCTCCGGCTGCCACACAGCCTTGTCCTTGGTGCTCGCCTTCAGCTGACGCACCTTGTCCGCCTGAGCCTGCACAGCCTGCTCCAGATCTGCAGCGCTGGTTTGATCAGCAGTCTTTGTTTCCTGAGCTCCGCCGTACTTGCCCTTGAGTTCGTCGATGAAGGACTGCTCCAGTTTGGCGAAGAGCGGAGCCGGTTTGCCGATTTTGTGGCCAGCCGGGATGAGCAAAGTGGCGAAAGGTTTCCTGTAATAAAATAGATTTAAAAATCGATTTAATCATTCAAATTAAGAGCACCTACTCTGCATTGAGCGGCGTCTGCTTGGCATTGAGCTGGCCGAACAGAGTCCTAGCCGTGGTTGGCATGTAGGGGAAGAGGAGATTCGCCAAGAGGCAGGCAACGTTGACACAAAGACCAATAATGGTCGCTGCCCGCTTCTTTTGTTCTTCGCTGCCCTTGAGCAACACCCACGGCTGCTGGGTTTGCATGTAGCCGTTGCCATGCCGCGAAATGGCCAGCAGATGACGGATGCCGTCGCGCAGTTTGGCCTTTTCCAGCGAGTTGATATAGCCACGCAGTTCGCGGTTGATCAGAGCCAGCAGCACGAGTTCATCCTGAGTGGTGGCCACTTCGGGCACGGTGCTGTCGAAGTTCTTTTCGCAGAAGACCAAAGCGCGGTTCACAAAGTTTCCCAGGTTATTCAGCAGCTCCGAGTTGTTGCGCGCGGCCAGATCGTTCCAACTGAAGCTGGAATCCTGTCCTTCGGGTCGGGCAGAGGCCAAATAGAAGCGCCACACGTCTGCCGGAATGCCAGTCTCCTGGGCATCGTTGCCAAAGACACCGATACCGCGGCTCTTGCTGAACTTGCCGTCCTCGTAGTTCAGATACTCGGTGGCCATGATGTGCGAGACAAGCGTGTGTCCCTTGTTGATGGCCAGCAGGACACTGGGCCAAACCACCGAGTGGAAGGGCACATTGTCCTTGGCCATGAACTGGAAGAGCTCCACATCGGTGCCCTTGGCTGGCTGCCACCACTGCTGGTACTCCTTGGTGTAGCGCTTGGTCATCGAGACGTAGCCGAATGGAGCATCGAACCACACGTAGAAGACCTTCTTCTCGAAGCCCTCGTGCGGCACGGGGATGCCCCACTTGAGGTCGCGGGTGATGCAGCGCGGCTTGAGTCCCTCCTTCAGCCAGGCCCTCGTTATCACCTTGGCGTTGTGCGTCCATCCGCCCTCCGACTTGTCCACCCATTCCTTAAGCTTTGGCTCCGCCTTCGGCAGATCGATGAACAACTGATCGGAGGAACGCAGCACAGGGGCGCTGTTGCACACCTTACACCGGGGACGGATCAGCTCGGTGGCGTTCACCAGCTTGCCGCACTTGTCGCACTGATCGCCACGGGCGTCCTCGTAACCACAGCCAGGATGCGGGCAGGTGCCTTCTACGAAACTATGGAAGAATTACAAATTAATTATAGTTTAAAGCAGAAAAACAGATTAAACCCACCGATCAGCTAGGAAACGATCGCATTTCTGGCAAAGCAGCTGCTCCACGCTCTCGGTGATGATGTAGCCGGATTTTAGGACATCCTGGAACGCCTCCTGGACAATGCTGTGAAAATCCAGAGATAGTTGGGTTAAGAACAGTGTTCGGAATTTAACACACTTGTTAAAAACATGTAAAATTGTATTTTACAGTGTGAGGTAAGTTTTTGACATATGTGCCAAAAACAAAAGTGTTAAAATGTAAAAAAGAATTGTTAGCACACACTGCTCACTTGTGTTTTTTACACACTGTGTTTTTAACACAAATGAAAATTACATTTTATGGACATTAACGAATCAAAGGGAAAATGAAGAATCAATATTGGACCGCGAAATCCTAATAGCTATTTTTAACCGTTTCAAAGCATATATGCATTTTTTTCAACTACAGAAAACCGTGAATTTTTTAGTTCAACATATATTTCTGACGTTTTAATGTCACATCTCATTGTGTTACAAACACGTTGTGTAAAAAACACGTCGTGTAAATAGCACTTCATGTAAATAACACAAATAACCTGTGTGTGTTATTTAGGTTTCTAACATATGTAAGCTACTTTTTTTGAACCTATCACTTTGTCATTTAACATGTTAATAACACAAGTTTTTTACAGAGTGTCCTATTTTCCGAACCCTGGTTAGGAATCCCCAGTTTGAGCACGTAAAACTCACTCTGTTTGCTCCTGGGTTGTGGTGCGTCCGAAATAATCAAAGCCAATGCCGAACCAGCGGTAAATGGCGTTGTGCAGCTCAAAGTACTTGTCGCAGATCTCTCGAGGCGTTAGGTTCTCGGCCAACGCCTTGTTCTCCGTAGCAGTGCCATATTCATCCGTGCCGCAAATCAGCAGTGTGTTGTAGCCAGCGGAACGCGAGTAGCGAGCATAGATATCGGCGGACAGCACACAGCCAATGATGTTGCCCAAATGCGGGACATTGTTGACGTAGGGCAGAGCTGAGGTAATAAGCACATTGCGTTCTCCAGCCTTGGGAAGAACAGTGCGCTCCTGCTTGAGTTCCTTGGGAGCTGTGTATGTAAAGGCGGCCTGTGCGGCGCTGATCTCCTCCTCCGTCACAGTGTCCGCCACTGTGGGCGTGGTGTCCACCAGCAGTTTGCCCGCATCCGCCAGGCTGAGACGTTTCAGCGGCACATGATGCAATCCCCCGTATCGATTGGACTGCTGCAGTGCATTGAAGCTGAGATCCTTCAGCGGCTGTTCGCTCAGCACTTGCTGCACTTCGGGCAGTTCTTTCACCCTGGCATACCAATCCCTCAGGCTGTCCACATTCTGGGCGCCCTTCAGCGTGCCCTCGGGAGCCAGGAGCGACCAAACGGCAATGTCGGCGGCACTGGGTGCGTTGCCAGCGAGGAAGGGCGAGGATTTCAGGCTGTCATCCAGCTTCTTGACCAGAGCATTCAGCACGGGCAGCGCATTCGCATCGGCCTTGTGACCCACCGCCATGTGGTGGGCCAAAGCGGGGGCCAGCAACGTGGCAGACCACTCCAGCCACTGGGAAGAGGCAGATTTAGATTAGTTTAACCTTCAGGGGTCATTTTTGGGCCACCTACCTCATCGCGCCGCTGCCCCTCGTCCACGAGCAGGTACTTGGCAATGGCCGCCGGCGAGAAGAGGCGCAATCCATTGTCCAGTTCCAAGGTGGGCAGCACCAGCAGATCCTTGAACTTGGCGTCTGCAATGGCCCGTGGTTATTGCATCAGAAATTAGTCACTTAAGGGTATTTCCCCTCCTAATTCCAAGGGAATCCGAGGAACAACTCACCATTTAGGTTAACCAACTGCACCTGCACCGGCCGCTTGGCGAACTTGGCCAGCATCAGCAGCTGCAGTCCCAGCGGATTGCCCTCGTTCGTGTAGATTATCATGTTGCCGGTATCGCGAGCTACTTCTAATACAATTTACGTGGCAAAAAGAGTTAAAAATCCAACCGAATTGTGGATGCACGAGAAACTATTATTTTGGTGGTGGACCGATCGGAAAAACTGTCACGCCGTCGCGATTATCGATAATTTGGCGAGAGTCTTGTATGCTAGCTATTTTTGGCTATGTTTGATATATCTTCTTTTAAAGAAACATAAAATATATTTAAATGACAGATGAAGACATGAAATAGTTGTCTAGTTTTTACACCAACTTGTCTACGGCTTACTGCTATTTATAACATTTTTGAACAAAATATAAATCGATTATCCGGCTACTTCTAGCTACTTCCCATTAATCCATTGGTCCACCCCTAGCGGCTTTGAAACAGCTGTTCCGATTTCAATATTGTTATTTACATTGGCTATTGGAAATCCAGGGTACCAACTCATTTTATAAAATAAGCAAAAAATGGGTGAACGCAAGGGTCAAAACAAGTACTACCCGCCCGACTATGACCCGAAGAAGGGCGGCCTCAACAAGTTCCAGGGCACCCACGCCCTGCGGGAGCGCGCCCGCAAGATCCACCTCGGGATCATCATCATCCGCTTCGAGATGCCCTACAACATCTGGTGCGACGGCTGCAAGAACCACATCGGCATGGGTGTGCGCTACAATGCGGAGAAGACCAAGGTGGGCATGTACTATACCACGCCGGTCTTCAAGTTCCGGATGAAGTGCCACCTGTGCGACAATCACTTCGAGATCCAGACGGATCCCGGCAATCTGGACTATGTCATACTCTCGGGTGCCCGACGGCAGGAGAACCGCTGGGATCCTCTGCAGAACGAGCAGGTCGTGCCGGAAACCAAGGAGGTGCAGAAGCGCCTCTTCGACGACGCCATGTACAAGCTGGAGCACCAGGCCAAGGATGCCAAGGCGGGCGCCGATGCCAAGCCGGTGCTCCAGAAGCTGATGGAGCGCAACATGAGTGTGTGGGACGACAGCTACGTGGCCAATTGCCGCCTCCGCGGGGAGTTCCGCCAGCAGAAGAAGGAGATCGAGGGTCAGCAGAAGCTGGATCGCCAGCTGCTGGCCAAGAGCAGTCTGGACATTGCCCTGTTGCCGGAAACCAGTCAGGACCGGGAAATGGCCGCCCTGATGAAGCTGCAAACGAGGTCGGCGCTGGAAAGGGAGGCCGAGCAGCGGCTGGAGCTGCTCATGCGTCCAGCGCTGCCGGGCGCAACAGCCACTACTTTCGGTGGCCTCAAGCGGCAGAAGGCGCTGAATAGTCAGCTGCAACTACAGGATCTGGGCATTCGGCGAAGGAAACTGGACGAAACGGAGGCTTCAAGTTCAAATGATAAACCCCTCAGCTTGGTGGGCGACTACTCCTCCTCGGATAATGACTCAAACAGCTGACTTCACAAAGCATTCGTTTATACATAATACAATAATTATAAAAAATACAGGACCTAATACAATCCTTCATTGGGATCCGCAGCTTCATCATCATTAATTTCAATGGGCTCCTCGTTGGTCTGACCATCTATCGTCTTGCAGAGCACCGTCTGTATGCGTTTGCAAAGTTGAACACGTTTAACATTCTGCGTATCGCTGGCCGCCGAGTTTACCAGATCCTCAACCAAACGCAACTTGTTGTAGAACTTGTTTATCTCCTCCAGAATGTCCTCTCTCCTCAGGCTGAGGGTCTGCATTTCACCAATTAGCTCCTTGAGCCCGTCATCATTGGTGTTTACCGGCGATCGCTCCTTGGCGAAAACGCGTGGCTTGATCGGTTTGCTCACCGGCGCATTGGCCAAGGCCTTTATGTTCTCCAAACCAGGAGCCTGCGAGTCGAAGAACTTCTTGAACCACTGCAGGAACTCAAAGTTGTCCTGGAATCGTCCCTTGATCAGACGATCGATGGGCACCGCCTTGTCCACCTTCATGCGGTTGAAGGCCTCCTGGAAGAGCCTTAGATTGTGCAGATACTCGTGCTCCAGTTTGGCCGTCATCTTGACGCGCTTCAGGTTAATGCAGTTGGGGTAGATCATCTCCATCATCTGGCAGTAGGCGGCACCTGGAGAAATCGTTGGATTAAGCAGGGGAAAATAATCTTTTTTGGGGACCTTACCGGAGCACAGCTCCTCGATCTTCTTGAAGTGCCCCTGGACCATGGTGTTGACCCACTGGAGCATATCGTGCCGGGACATGTTCTCCCCATTGACGCTGGTCAGGGCCACGGTTAACTTTACGTCGGTCATATTTTTGGTTCGTAGAAAATGTCACCCTTTTACTGTTACTCCTCTTTGAAAAGTTTCTTTGTATTCGAGATTTCAAGGCCCACTTTTTAGGTTTGGTTAATCGTAGGGTTATAGTTCCTGTTCTGTGAGCTTCTGGACCTGCCTGCTTCTCACACAATATACCTGTTAATTTCTTTATAAAATTCTAGCTGATCAGATTTATATGCCGCTAATTTATGCAATTACTTTGACTCCCGATTGCAATGCTTCCAGGATCAGTGATGGGAGGAAACTGAGCGCGTGTACCTGGCTCCTAAACCAGGTACCCTTTTCAGTATTTTTTCAAAGCTAAGGCTCAAAAAATATCGTTTGTGTTTAAAAATCCAAATATAAATGTTAACTATGAATATAATTAGCAATTTAAAAGATTACATAATATGAATGTATAATTAAATGTTTGGACCTCAATAAAACTTTAGTTTAAAAATATGTTTATACGACAACTAAACTATAAAATTGTGTTTTTTATAGTTGGTACACCTGAAGGTGCACACCTGCTAAATCTCATACCCACTGTTAGCAAGTAGCTTTAAATATTAGCATTAAATAAATAAAAAAGAAAATAAATAAATAAATTAATTAATTAATTAAATAAATACAAAAATAAATAAATAAATAGTTGGTACAGATTTTATTTTATAACCACAAGTTTGTTTTTTATTATTACTCAAAGTTTTTTTTAATTTACCTTTACACTAGGTACATGAAAATGGTTAATTTCCCATTTCTCTCCAGGATCAAAACCAGATAGGATACCTTTTACGTTATCGATATCAGTTGAAAGCCGCCTTTTTTGAAAAAGAAGTGCCTTTATTGTACAAAATTTACAGCGTTTTAATTTTAAATTTACGTTCCACCGTCTTGACAAACTCTATGAAGTCCTTGTACAGCACATTGGGCACCTCCATGGCGGCAAAGTGACCGCCCTTTTTGTGGTAGGTGCTGTGCACCAGGTTCGTGAACTTGTCCTTCAACTGGAAGTCCAGGAACTGCATAATGTCACTCTTGAACCGGGCACAACCCGTGGGCACTGGAGTGGGAACTCTTTCCAGGTGCAAATCCCGCTGCGCCTGCGCATACTGCTCCGCATAGAGACGCTGCGAGGTGGTGATGGAGTTGGTCAGATAGTAGATCATCAGATTGTCCAACAGGGCGTCCATTTTGTAGCGCTTCGTCAGTCCTCCGTCCTTCAAGGACCGATAGCTGGGATTGGTCCACGTGGAGAACTTTTCCAGGATATAGGCGGCCAAGCCCACAGGATTATCGGTGAGTGCGGCTCCAATGGTGTCCGGTTTGGTGGCCTGGATGTGGAAGTAGCCGCTCTCCTCCATCAGGTACTCGCAGTTCATTGGACTTCGGGAAGAAGAAGTCCTCGAAGCCAGAGGGAGCAAACAAACTGGGCCAAAAACCAGCTAGTACACCCTTTGCCAGGGATTTGGGACTCATGTTGTTGCACAAATTCGAGTGGTAACCCAGCACGTTGTCCGGATATAAGGTGGCAATGTTGCTGCCAATGATGCTGCCCCAATCGCCACCCTGGATGAAGAACTTGTCGTATCCCAGGCGCAGCATGAGGTTCCTCATAATCACGGCCACCTGAGCGGGTCCCAGACCCTTCCTCGAGGTGCCCTGCAAAATCAGAAAGGGGGTTTAGCCTTGAAACATACAGGTTATATTCAACCAAAACCCACCTCCGACCAGCCGTAGCCGGGCAAACTGGGAACCACCACGTTGAAGATGTACTTGTTGTTCTTGTCCAGGTTGCTCTGGTGCAGCAAGTGGATGAGGTCGTAGAACTCCCGCACGGATCCCGGCCAGCCGTGGAGCAACAGCACCGGATAGTGCTGCTTGCCCACTTTGTTGTCATCGTAAACCATCAGGTGGAGGAAGTGCATGCGTAGCCTAAAAAGCCGTAGACCAAACCCATCGTTACTATCTGCGGATATGATAAGTGGCCCTCTTATCTCACCCCTGAATATCGGTGGTGAAGTGGTTGAACTGCCACAGGAACACCTCGCGTTCCCGCCAACGCGGCAGGTAGTCATCGCGCCAGTACTCCACGACCTCCTTAAGGTAGTCGGTATTGAAGCCATACTCAAAGGCCACGCCCTCGAGCGGAGGCGTAAGGCGCAGGGTGCGATTCAGGCGGCTCTTCAAGTCGTCAATGGTCTAAGATGATAATGATCCATATAATAATTAAAAAATACCATACAATAGATAAGCACACTCACCTTCTCGGGGTAACTAAGTCGGTTGCCTATCACCTCCGAATTGTTGGCTAAATAGGCGGCATAGTCCTTGGGCTGCGCCTCATCGCCCCACCACTCCTGAGGATCCAGCTGGGGAACTGGCAGATCGGCCCACAGTTGGCTCGCTTTCTTGTAGACCAGACCACCGCCGATGGCCAGTATCAAGACCAGAATTTTAGCCGTAACGCCCATCCCTTCCTATCAGCGGTTCCACTCACACTAACTGGGATTGCAGCTCCTCCACCTTCGACGATTCCAGCATATCATCGCGTAGCTCTCGTTTTCGTCGCTCACGATGATAAGCGACTTTGAGTGACCGCCCTACAGTCGATCAGTTAAGGCTTATCAACAGGTTTACTTTGGACTCCACTGAGACGAAGTAGCGGCTTTTGAAATCGTGGATGACTCGGTTGAATCGGCTTGTTTGTTTATTTACTCGGCGAAGCTTTCGTGCCGGTTTTTTGTTTGAAGCTTTTTAGGGGGAACAATCGGAGGGTTGTATATGTTATATAGTAAAAAGAGGGACAGTCTGGCGAATTTCTGATATTTTGCGACGCAGCTGGGGTTCCAAGTTAGGTAGATATACCCTTGGAGCTTACTTAGGGTAGTCTCGACCTTTGTTTTTTTTAAAAGATAAAAATTTAATTTTGTAACTAGTTTTGGATATTATGTTAACCAACTTTTTGAATAAAAATCTTTAATAAATCTTTAATTCTTTTTAAATAATTCGTTATAGAAGGGTATACCAAAGTCGACTATACCCCTATCCTTCAAAGTTACGTAACCATGTTCTGAGCTTAGATTTATCTATGTACATATACCTATATAAAGCAAACGAAAACTGACCAATTGTTCTTCACTTTATAACTTATCAAAGTTACCAAACAAAAAATAAACACACCTTAGCTTTCTTTTTTCAAAGCAGATAAGGCAAACACAATCACCAACCGATTTGTTTTAATTTTCGCAACAGACATTGCTGTTCCTTTGAAGCACAAAATGGAAATATACAATGCATTCTTAAGACTAGTAAAAAAACAGCTCCCTTAGGAGAACTCAGCCTTCTTGACAAAGCTCACAAAGTCATCGTACAACGTCTGGGGCAGCTCGAAAGCAGGGAAGTGACCGCCATCCGAGTGGTGGGTACTGTGCACCAGATTGGGGAACTTGTTGGCCAAAACGGAGTCAGGGGAGTGGACGATCTCGTGGGCGAAACGGGTGCATCCAGCCTTGGCCTGGATGGGCAGGGAATCCACATTCAAGCCAATCTGCGACGTGACCATGGACTCCGAGTACAGGCGCATGGAGGTTGTAATGGAATTGGTCACGTAATAGATCATTACATTGTCCAAAAGCTGATCGTAGGTGAATCTCTTGGTAAGTCCGCCATCGGGAAGCGATCTAAACGAAGGGTTCGTCCACGTGGAGAACTTCTCCAGAATGTAGCTGGCCAGTCCAGTTGGATTGTCGATCAGGGCATTTCCAATAGTGTCTGGCTTGGAAGCCTGTATGTGCGCATATCCCATTTCCTCCAAAATGGTGCTGAAAAGGCCGCCCAATCCCTTGTAGAACTCGGCATACTGGCTGTCCACAAAATAGCTGGGGAAGAACGAGGCCAACAGGGTCTTAAATTGACCCAGCGGACTGTTGTTGCCGCACATGTTTGAATGGTAGCCCAGTACGTTTTCGGGGAAAAGTGAGGCCACATTGGATCCGATTATCGAGCCCCAATCGCCGCCCTGCACCAGGAACTTCTCGAATCCCACTCGTAGCATCAGGTTGCGCATCACCACGGCCACCTGGGCCACTCCGAATCCAGTTTTTGAAGAGCCCTGTAAATTGAAAAATTAAATAAATGTTATAAAATATAGTATAGATATTAATATTGATATTGAGACAGCAAAACTGACCTGAGACCATCCGTAGCCCGGCAGACTGGGTGCAATCACCTCGAAGACGTAGTCGCTCTTATCACTGGGCGTGGTCAGCAGGGGGATGAAGTCGTAGAATTCGCGAACGGTTCCTGGCCATCCGTGCATCAGGAGCAGAGGCAGAACCTTCTTGGGCTTCTGGCCTTTCACCTGGCTCGGCTTGGCATGAATAAAGTGAATTTTCAAACTGCAAAAATGGAATACGTTCGGGGTTAAATTTCGGGGTTAATGTGCAAATGCAGGTCCGCATGCCGGCAAACTAATTATGCATGTAGGAAATGGAAAGCCATTAGTATGGGCTCGACTCACCCCTGAATCTCAGTTTGGTAGTGATCCAGCTTCTTGAGGAACTGCTCGCGTTCGCTCCACTTGGCCAGATAGTTATCACGCCAGTATTTCACCACTTTGGCCAGTTCCTTGGCATTGAAGCCGTACTGAAAGGCCACGCCTTCCAGCGGCTCCTGGGCCTTCAAGGGACGACTTAGTTGGCTCTTCAGATCCTCAATTATCTAAAGGTTAAATATTGGGATTTTTAAATGATTTATAAATATAAAGATGTGCTAATTGTTTTTTAATTATAAAGAAATGTTTTTTATCAGATCGAAACGGATACAAAAAATTCAAGTCATTGTCAAATCAAAAACATGATGAAATTATAATTATTTTTAAGGTTAATCGAATTTTATATTTCTATATTTCTAATAAGACCATGGTTAATTATTTATTATTACTATATAGTTAAGATTGATTTGTATGTTCCTCTGATATTAACTTAAAATAAACAAATTCTAATTTTTTGAAAAAGCTTACCTCGGGTTTCACGCTGATATCGAAGGGCAGGATGGCCTTGTTCTCACGATAGGGTTCCTTTAACGCCGGACCCCAGTAAGCATTATTATCCAGATCGGGCCTCTTTCCTGGCGCAGAAAGATCCCGATAGTTCTTGTAGCCAACGGCCAGCAGGATAGTTAGGCCTCCGACCAGGAACCGCGCCCAGATATTCGCCATGGGGATATACTATATTCTATTTCAGCTATATATAAATTTTCAACTGCACATCTGGGCGTGTGCGATTGTCGAATACAAATGATTTAGAAATAACAAGCAACCGGCAAACGAAAGCTTTCAGCCGGCTTGTGGATCCCAAATGGATCACAAATGGATCCCATTCTATACTGCACTGCAATGCGAGCATGATGGTGCGCAAAATGTGAGAATTTCGGGGAGCTTTTGGCAACAAATTGAAGGAGAGCAATTCATGGAACAAAGCTTTAGAATTAGTTAATGAAGATGATCAGTCACTTTCGTTTATCAAGCTAACTGAAGAAGAAACTATTCATGCTGAGACTAACAAATGATATATTGGACCGAACTGAATACCAAAAGTGTAATAATAATAATGATTTTGAAATTCACTTATAGACACGCGAGTCAAGTCAAGTCAATAGACAATCAATAGCATTTATAAAGTGACAGCAAGTACATTGTAAAATAATTTCTATCAATTTGCATATATTACAAGCAAGTTAAAACCCAGAGCTTTAAATTCTTGCTTTTCATTTTATGTTGATAGACCATTCTAAGGGGGGCCTTGATTACTACGGTTAAAATTATGCAACCTTAAAATTGTACTGTACATATTAACATCCCCTATCGGCCTACTGTAAAAGTGCAGGCTTAAACAGTCTAATCAGCTTTTTTGTAAATTAACAGAAGGGCTTGCATTCAGATTAGAAAGCATACTATCAGAGAATAAAAATTGTAATCGGTTTTTCTGTATACTTAAACCTTTTCTATTTTAATTGTCTGTAAAGCGAAAAAGGTGTAATATTTGTAGACCTTTACGATGGACGGCCGTGTTGATATAACCTAGTAATATATTAATAATTGTATAATTCATAATAACAGTTTACAATAATTTTACAATTAATACAAGTTACATGAGAATCGGTTAAATAATGGGAACAAACTGCAGGTATTGATCTAACTCAAGAAATCTTTCAATTTAAATGAATTACTAAAATTATAGTGCAAGGGCCATTTTGACGACCTCAGCCCAGAAAACGGAAATGAAAGGCACATCAAATACCTTTATCTCCTCTCAGGTGTCGAATCAAAATGCTGTCTCATTTGACTTTCCGATGCCGTGGTTAAAGTACAAATACCGTTTGTGAGGTAAGTAATAGGAAAACAATTTATTTATTCGTCTCGCCATGCAGGCCAATCTTTCCGGCAAAGGTAGTAAAGTCGTTGTACAACATAGCCGGCATCTCGAGGGCGGCGAAGTGGCTGCCCTGCTGGAAGTACATGGAGTGCTTCAGGTTGGGGAACTTGTCCCGCAGCTGCCAGTCGGTCACCGAGGGCAGATCGAACCGGAAGCGGGCACAGCCCATGGGCACCGGCGACTGCACCCGATCCAGCTGCAGGTCCCTGTAGGCCTTGGACACGTTCTCCAGATAGAAACGAGCGGCCGTGGTGGCCGAGTTGGTCAGGTAGTAGACCATCAGGTTGTCCAGCACCGCCTCTAGGCCGAAGACCGTCACTATTGCGCCAAAGTCCTGCTGCAGGCCGGGATTCGTGCAGGTCTGGAACTTCTCCAGGATGTAGGAGGCCAGGCCGACGGGACTGGAGGTCAGAGCCGCTCCAATCGTATCCGGCTTGGTGGCCTGGATGTGGAAGTAGCCGCTCTCCTTCAGCAGATCCAGCCACTTGTCCCACACGGGGAAGTGATGGTCCACAAAGAATCTGGAGGGCAGGTACTTCTCCGGGTAGAAGCTGCCGTAGATTCCCTTCAGAATGGCCAGGGGCGAGTGAAGGACGCACATGTTGGAGTGGTAACCGATCACGTTCTCTGGGTAGAGAGTGGCCAGGTTGCTGCCGATGATGCTGCCCCAATCTCCGCCCTGAATGAAGAACTTCTTGTGCCCCAGACGCAGCATCAGGTTTCGCATCACGGTGGCCATTTCGGCGGCATTGAAACCGGGACGAGTGGCGGCCTAGAAAAACATTTATTCATATCATTAAAAAATACTTAATAAAATGTTTTCTATTGTAGAAATAATGAGTCCTCACATCAGACCATCCGTAGCCCACCAGAGAAGGAGCCACCACCTCGAAGGCGTAGTCAGTGATGTTTTGGTCCTTCGTGAGCATGGGTATAAAGTCGTAGAACTCGCGCACCGATCCTGGCCAGCCGTGGAGCAGGAGCACGGGATAGACGTGCTTCCTGGCCTTGGCTTCCTCGGAGGCCTTCTCGTGAATGTAGTGAATATTCAAACTGCACGGGGAATTAAATCATTAAGATGCTATTTTGAATGTAAAATAATTTTAAACACACCCCTGAATCTCCGTCTTGTACTGCTTGAACGAGTTGAACAGCTCCTGGCGCTCATCCCACTTGGTCAGGTACTTGTCCCGCCAGTAGTCCACGAACTGCTCCAAGGCATAGGTGTTGAATCCGTACTCAAAAGCGATCCCGTCCAGCGGTTCGGTGAGTTTCAGCGTGCGGTTGAGTTGCTGCCTCAAATCATCGATTTCCTCCTTGGGCACTTGCAGCTTGAACTCGTAGATCTTTGTGTCGGGCACATGGTCTTTGCCATCACCAGGACCCCAGTAGGTGTTGTCCTTGAACTCCGGCTTGGGCAGGGGCTTGGTTAGATCCGTGAACACCACGTAGCCGTAGCCGATAAACGCACCGAACAGGGCCACAATCAGCCCGAACACTATCAGGCACTTCATTCTGGCCTAAGCACACCCGCAATTAGCTGCCACTCGGTTTGAATTTAAATGAACCTGCCTCCCACCGGAGATAATGGTTGCCGATTCCCGATCCGAATCCGGAACAAAGACGACCGCGCTGCCAGAAAGCCGCGAAAGAACTGACTGCCGGCGCATTTTCTCATTCCCCAATTTGTCTCGCAAAGCTCTATCGAAATTCGCTGTCGCCGTTATAGTATATGCTCGTATAATATTTATAAATTCGTTTAGATAGTGCTGGCTATCGCGCACAGTGGTTCAAAGTATGCTCAGTCATTGTGCTCTTTGATCTATGAACCTTTTACGTTTTGTTAAATGACAGTTTATACCTTAAGTTCAAAAGTTAATTTGCTTTGGGCCTAACTGAATTTTATTTACTGAACTCTTAGGTAATAGAATATTTAACAACATATACTCCAAATTAATAAATTATTTGTTTATGTTCACACATTGTTACTCCACACAAAAAAAAGGATGTCGCCGTAAAATCGATATGTGGATGTAAATTTCTGGCTATGCAAAACCCATATCATTTTTACATGAAGTACTCTTTTCGACCATATCAAATTTACCTGGCCGCATATCAAGTTGAAATCATAATCATAATGTAAAAGCGATCTATGTTTCATATCGTTTTTTTTTTTTGGGTGCGTGAACTCCATTATTCTATTACTTTTCTAGCCCTTCCTCATCACGACTTTAACCATTTTATTATACATCTTATCTGCTTTTCAATGACTCAAGACCAATGTGCGCTTGGGGCTAGACTGCCGGGTACTGGGTTACTTACCCACGTCTGCACCTTGAAGCGCCCATTGATTTCAGAGCGAGATAGGCTGACCCACACACAAGTATATATATCAGACAAGTACGATGGTGACTTGGGAATAGTCCCAGCTACTTATAAAAAGCATTATCTTATCGAAGCTCTCTTGGAACTTATTTATTGTTAAGCGCTCCGCCGGTAACTGATCATAAATCTCAGCCCTTCTGCCACTGATGATGTGGCTCCAAACAAACAAAAAAGCGAAAAATGAATGAAGTCGGCCGATCAGAAGGCCACGTGGCTACTATCACTCTATAAATAGAGTCCTAGATACTGTCTTTAAACTCACAATGGCCAATCAGAGCAAATCCCTGTGGCTGCGTAGCTCTAATGGCCAAAAACTGCAGTGCCAGGTGAACACGGATCAACCCTTGGTCGCATTTCTCAAGAATAAATATGCCCTTGCAATGGGAACGTCCCCTGAATCCCTGATTATGGTCTTCGATGGGGAGAAAATCCAGGAGCAGGACACCTTTGACTCCTTGGCCTTGGACGATGATGATATCATTGACGTTTATGAAGCCAATTAGTGGCCTAAAAACCATGAAAATATGATTTGTCGTTGATGTTTCATGTTCATTGCAGGGCAGAGTCAATGAACTTTGTGGGGGTTGCACTTGCCAATAAAGTATACATAAAAACTTAAAAAAATAAATCAAACAGTATAAAAATTAAAAAAATATTTAAATAAACAGAAAAAGTTTTTTGTGCTTTTCCACATTTACATACATTTGATATCTATCAATGGTTTTGTTTTTCCGAATTTATTAAAAAGGTTGGTAAGGTAAAGTTGCTAAGAAAATAGCTTATGTTTATGTATGCAAAAATCCATTTTTAAACATAATAATTTTTATTTCCAAGTGCACCAAGGACCGGGGATAATTTATATAAATTATAAGGCAAACAATAATGCTGTCGACATGCAACTATCGAAGGATTCAAGCAGCCAGGAGTCTCGAAAAATCCACAAAAGTGCCGCCAAACATGCAAGACAGCGAAAAGGAGGCGTGGCAAAAACAATGATGTGAAACGTAATTCGAGCGAAATTAACGCAATTACTGTGCCGCAGTCAAAGGACTCGAGTTCAATTCCGATGCACTGCGGCCAAAAAAATGAAAATAAGTAAAGTTTGTTCGCGTGCCGCAAACAAATCGCATTGATACTTGGAAGCGTGTCAAAGCTGCCACCTCCGGGGGAAATAGAGAGGTTCCTATTCCGGAATCTGAGTCCCGAATCGCGGGCCATTAATGCCGGCTCTACCGGGCTAATTCCCATTTTATTGAGTGCTCCAGTTACGGCTAAAGTTTGGCACCACCGCTGCCCCTGGCAACCCACCTTACCCTCGAAAGGGGGCGTGGTCTTAATGGTCGCAATTAGTTTTTCATCCACCTGACACGCACTTGTCGTAAAAGTCCATTGAACCTGACGCTAAATTGATTTTAGTTCGGGCAGGCCAGGCAAAAGTGATTCAGTTTATTCTACATATTAAACAAATACTATTTATGGCAACAAAAAAAGCCAGAAAAACTATGCCAAATCGATCAAATGAGCGTTGGTTTGTCATCATAACGTTGGCTTCGTGGAACTTAATCAGTGGTTTCGGGTTCTACGCCTACATTCTGGATTGTTACGGTTAGATAATCCCTGTATTACCCATTTATAATTTATGGTTAGCCTACTTTTTCTCTAGTAAACTATCCACCTGAGCACCCGAAAAGGAAGTTCAAATACCACACTTTTCCCGGAACTATTGACTATGATGTTGTTATTGGAATTACTGTCGTCATGCTTTTCCTGATATTATCCTCGATATTGTTGTGCTTGGCATTAAATGAGGTTAAGCCTTTTATATTAAATACCCAGTCCAACGATTTCTTACGAATTGCGTTTTAGTCCAGGAGGAAATGTTTCATCTACGGAATTTGTATTAGCATGACTTTTCCGTGTTTCTGCCTTCCAATTTGGCCTTTAGCTGGTAAGATATCCTATTTTCCTACTATCAAGTTTCTTTAATTAAATTTCCCTTTTTAACAGTAACACATGTCACTCTGGTTTTGATTGCCCTTAGTTACTATTTCGGTTAATATTACAAAATTAAGTTGAGTTCGGTTTTATAAATCCATATATATAAATTGTTTGGTTGGAACAGCCTGAAAGTAGACCCAATAAATAAATTTGTATGTAAGTTCAGTTACCATTTTAAAATGTTGGCATTTATAAGCATTGCTTATCTGTTTAGAAAGTTTATACATTCTAAATAAATTTAAAAAGTGTATCTATATTTCTAATATATATAAAAAGTATATTGAAATCCAAGACGTCGATATTATGCCAACACATAAAAAAAGAGCGAAGAGGCTTCACTGTATATGCAAGTTTATTTTATTTTTTGATCAGCCCAAAAGTAGAGTATCATCTTGGTTATAATGGCATTACTGATAAGAAGCAAGATCAGTTTATAGTATATTTATTATTGAAATATTTTTACAAATATTTGATATTAAAAGTTATTTCCAAGATGCTGGTCATCATTGCCCCAGGGAAATTCTTGCTTTTCCGGTGGTCCTTCCCCATTTTTGCCGATTTCAAGCTCCTGATCGTCAGCCGATGATTGGCATGTGACGTGTCCCAGCTGCAAAGTAATTATTCTGTTTGAGATTGGTTATTTATTTTTTTCGTACCCTATACGCACCCAGCAGACCAAAATAATGGCCAATATATTCATAAATATCGATTGTAACAACATCGCTCTTTGCTGCCTCCGCACTCGACTGTCGTTGGTGAACTGTTTTCATTTTTTTTTGTCCTCTGCTCTTAATCAATTAATGTGTATTTAATATTTATATTTGTATTTTCGCTTGAGTACATACAAACATCGCTTTATCTGTCGCTGTCGCTGCAGCGAAAATTTCGAATAAATCCGCGGAGCAGCCAAAATGTGGAGGTTTCTTTGTCTCTTCATAGGAATTTTAAATAGATAAAATAAAATGTTTGCTTGGCAAATTAAATGTAAGAATTTAATTAGGGCTTACAATTTTTTAAAACTAAACTACTCCGTAAGTACTATTTGTAAAAAGTTAAAGAGTCCTACACGTTTATATCTTAAGATTAAGAGTAAGAAGAATATCGAATGGGTTGATTAGAGCGTAAAATGTTGCATTACCCAAAGACTGAAACAAATTTAATATTAATTGGGAAAGGAAAAGTCACGCTTTAAAATTTTTGCTGTCAGAGAAATCTTATATTTATTTTATTTTAAAAGCGGAATGAAGCGGATAAAAAAGACGGTTTTTGGGAAACAAAACTTTAATAAAGAATTAACGGCTAAAACTAAAAAAAAATAACAGATCCCTTTTGAAAAAGGCTACAAATGGAATACCCGCTTTGGGTATAGTATGTACGAACTATCGTACATTATAACAATATAATTGACAACCTCAGTGAGGCACTCCCAAATTTAATTAAACTTTTGAAGATACTTCTATTTTCATACCTGAAAAAGGGAAAAAATCGTTTAAGGGTCTGTCATTATTGTTTCAATTATATTTAAACGAGGACATAGATCACAAAAATATATGGAGTATTGAAGAAAAATCCCCTGCCTAAATCTATAGCAAATAAAGGTTTACCGTTTCGGGGATTCCCTCTGGGTGACCGACCGACGATCTTTAGTTTAAATTATGAGGCAATGATCATCGTAGGTATATGTTCTGAACAGATAAGGTTGCATAGGGGATTCCTTTTTGTCATTGCCATTGTGCAATTGTCCTATAAAAGAGCCTTAAAACTGCAGCAGAATTATCAGTCAACAGTCTCAAGCTTGTCCATCGAGATCAACCGAGATGCAGTCTTCGATAACTTTTGTCTTGCTCTTTGCCTTCATCGGAGCTTCTTTGGCCCATCCGATGCCCGAAGATATGACCATGCCGTCCACTCCACCGCCCCAGTATCCCCTCAATCTTCAGGGAGGAGGTGGTGGCCAGAGGAGCGATGGATTCGGATTTGGTGTCTCGGGGCGCGAGAAAGTATGGACCAGCGACAACGGACGCCACGAGATCGGTGTAAATGGAGGATATGGGCAGCACCTGGGAGGACCTTATGGAAACTCGGAACCCAGCTGGAATGTCGGAACCAGCTACACCTATAGATTCCCAAATAGATTCTAAACGCCATTTTCATTTCGGCGAAAAATATTACCAAATAAAATTATTCGTATCTCAATTGCCATCAAAATCTTGCTTTTAAAAACCTTATCCATTAGCGAATATAACCAAAGTATACCTGACCATAATTTCTCTATCTCAATTGCCATCAAAGTCCTTGGCGTTGTTTGTTTACCCCGGAACATTCAGGCAGACTTCTAGAGACTGAGGCTGGGTCACAGATGATCTTGCAGTTTGGCTAATTGTTGATACATCTTGTTTGGCCAACTTCGTTGGGTAATAACAAATTACGATGACAGGCGGTCTTAATGAAACCTGCCAAGACAAAATGTTTTTTGCTAATTGGATTTATTGCGTAAACTGTCGAAAGAACCTTCGATGGAAATTTATCATGCCGCTGGCGCATAATCCGCAACATCCGCAGCCTAGCCCCAAGATTTAAATATTACGCAATCCCCAACGAAAGCGAATACGATTTGCTAAAATATTTGAAAAATGATTCATGATGGGGCTGTGTTCTAAACTCTTTTACAATCAAGTTTGGGGATTACCAAGAGTTTTTCACATCATTAATTTGACCTAAGGAAAGCCAAATTGAGATGACCTTGTAAAATGATAAATCGATTTGGGAAACTAAGCTTTGCCTGGAGCAGCGGAACGTGTGGGTTGATTATTTTTGTTTTCTTGGGAGGAAATCGCTTTTCGACGAAAGTTATTTCAAGTCGTAGATGCTTTATAAGTTAAAAAAAAATTAAAAACTAACAACGTCACAGTTGTTAGAAATTAAAAGTTATTATAAAAAGCAGAAGATAAACTTATGAATTGTGCTCTAGAATGGAGGTTACTGATGCAGAAGATTTATTATGTGCTTTTAAATCAGGTCATCATAAAGAAAGTACTTATTTGCTGAAAAGATTTAACACAGATTTGCAAGTTAACCAAAATAGGAAAAAGGTTAATATAAAGAATTTTCTAATTTAATTTTTGTTGTTAAAGTGGTTCAATCCTAGGTACAGTAATGCACGTTTCTTGCTATTTTCTATAAATGTCATATTGACCCCAAACCGCAGAAGGCCGATTATTATCACAGGTGCCACCCATGAAAGATTCTCAAATCCAAATACCTTCACATTCATTGTTTCTGGTTGGGATTTACATAGTCGGTCGCCTCTGTTTGTAGAACCTACACGTACTTCTTATCAATAAATTGTGGGGATCCACTGGTGAACCACTTGGCCATCATATTTAATGGGATTCCCAAGTGGGGAATCATCTGCCAATATTGATAAGCCACCGATTCGAGCTATATAAGCGCCGAGTTTGATTCTAGCCGTATTCAGTTGACAAAGTCAAAGCAAAGCAAAATGCATTCTACCTCCAGCTTTCTGTTCATTGCCCTGGCTTGTGCCTGTGCCTTCTCCGTTGCCTTGGCCTATCCCTATCCTGATCCCCGAGAGATTGTCAACATGCAGCCCGAACCATTGGCAGTAAGTTCTAAAAAGCCGATTTATTTAGGGCACATATTAATCAAGTATTTTTTCCAGTATTCTCCCGATTTCAATGCTCCCCTGCACAGAGTTCGTCGCCAGTTCCAATTGAATGGCGGTGGTGGTGGAAGCCCCAAACAGGGATTTGATCTGAACCTCAACGCCCGTGCTCCTGTTTGGCAGAGCCAGAATGGCCGCCACTCTTTCGACGCCACGGGATCGTATGGCCAGCATCTTGGAGGACCCTATGGAAACAGCCGACCTCAGTTTGGAGCCGGAGGTGTGTACACCTTTAGGTTCTAGGCTACTAGCTGAATTTCTTAATATTTATTAAATTATAAATAAAAACCATAACGAAATAGTTGTAATAGTATAAAGGTAAAGGTAAACAAGAAATTAAGCTCAAAAATCCTTATTTTGCGGAATAAAAATAATGCACTTTAATTTGAAAAAATTCAAAATACAATAAATACTGAAACTAAAATAGTTAATTCCATGTATTGTCCCAGGGTAATTCCTTATCAGTCTGATTGTAGGTAAATATTGTGGGATCTGGTTGAGGTATCGCAAACTAAATTATAGACGAGAAAAAGTATATTATTTAAAGCAAAGCTTTAGTCAAGAAACTCACCTCCTGCCATTCATCCAAATTTTCTGACCCTCCGCCCACAGAACGCCCTTGGACGAGGCCAAAGAGGTAGAGAATAAACCAAAGATACAGTATGCTCAACATTTCACCGAGAGATGCTGCGTCCGACTGAATTTACACGCCGATTTCAACCGTTCTCAACTCACTTCTCAGTTCTCAACTTCGACCTGCTGATAAGACCCTGATAAGGCCGACTAGTGCTTGAATTTGGATGTGTGTCAAGAGCTTGCTGCCAGACAAGAGACCGTAGCCCCTGGATCCGAGACCAGGTCAAAGCTAGAGCCAAAGCCAAACCCAGCTGAACTGTATTAAATTTGGGGAACGTGCAACTGGCAGCCAAAATTGGCACGTTTTCTGTTGAAATCGAAAAGAAGCCAAAACAAAAGAAGCACAGCAGACCCGAAAAAATGGAAAAGCAAAACAAATTTAAATGTTAGAAGCAACACAACAATGAAGGTCAGGCTATGATGACTTTTTTCCTGCACCGAACCTCCATCCTCAAAAAAAAAAAAACAAAAAATAACCGAAACAGAAAATTCGTTGCGCTTTGCCTCTGTTTTTTGTTTTTGAGTCCAACTCGTTGTCTTGAGTTAACTGGGCAAGTTCCTTTTTGATAGCCTCAATTTCAATTTCCAATTTTTCTTTCCATACGATGCTTTTTGGGGTATCATAACTTATCTTATAAATCCGAGCTAAAATTGTAAAATTTCTTAAAAACAATCTTAACATTTCCAAAATATGCCAGTTTAATAAACTTTCTTAAATATAAGAAAATATTTATATTGTACATTTATATTTTTTTATAATTTTTTTTGCAAAATCAATGATACACTCTTTATAAAAAATCCAGAAATGTTTAAATAATTTAATTTTCAAGGGTATTTGATGCCTCAATTTGCCAAAAAAATAAAATGAAGCCCATTCCAGCTGCACTTTTCTCCTCTGCTTTCCATGTCATTTTCATATGGAGAGTGCTGCAATTCAGTGGAAGAGCTATTTTCTAAATCAATGCGCAAATTGTCAAAGTCAAAAGCGGGAGAATTTCTATTGTTTAGCTCCGCTCTGTTTTCCTTTGCTTTAGCCTGACATGAGGCAAAATTGGCCCGCTCGGAAAATTGCTAGATCGAAGGGGAAAGGGAGAAGGGTGGGGGGAAATGGGGCCCAAAGTGGGTGGATTGTTTTCCAAATTGCACATGTGGCAGTCAACTCATTTGTCAAGTGGCAAATCAGTTTAGGCCGAGACAGTAACACAGAGCCAAAGAGACCGAGTTAGAGTCGGCGATAAAATCAACTTTGCATTTTCCATGTTGTACTTGAAGTTGACGGTGAAGTTTTCCCGTCGCCGTTTTTGATCGTGACGATCGACGGCATTTCCCACGCAAACTTGCCTTCGGACCGAAGGCAGTTAAATTGTTTGACACACTCAACACTCGGCTCTTGTCTTTGATTGTATCGGAAACCGAAACCGAACAAACATTGCTGAAATTTATGCTCTCCATAGGAAAATTTTCTAATTAGAAAGTGGCTAAGGGTGGCGGTTGCGGCGGATGATAGGCAGCAAAATTCATCTCCCACTAATGGCTTTTTAATGAAGCCACCGAGAACTTGGCCACCGGGCGGCTAGACTTCTCGTAAGTAACTCAAATTAAGCGTATTAATTATGACTGACGCTGTTTGCCGCGGCAAAAGAAATGGCCAAGCGAAAAGTGCAAGAGTTAGCAGGTGCCAGAAAGACTCTTGGCTTTTCGCATTTGCATCTGACATTTGCCAAGATGCGCCGACCTCCTCGTCTCCACTCCACTCCACTCCACTCCCGCTACACAAAAAGCGGGATCGCGGCATTTTGGCCTGCTTACTGCTTTTGGCCAAAATGTCTATAGTTCAATTGCTGATATTTTGGCCAGACACACGACGGAACACGTGACCTATGCAATGGAGCAGCAGCAGCAGCAGCCGATGAGGCATCGCCAAAGAGCGTGAGTCTCTCGCGATGTCTGCGTGACACGAAAAGAGGCTCCGAATCGGGGTCACCAGGCTGAAAGAGGAGAATCGGATGCCTATTAAATTTATTATACGCTGGGATGTTACTAAAAGTATCTAGTTACTAACGTTTTTTTACTAACTTCAAAGACTTTATAAAACCCTGACTAAAAGAAAAACTTATTGTTTTTAAAATGTCATGACTCATGAGTTAATAATAGAGAACATAATTATATTCCATATTATTTTAACATATTTCAGCTAACGTTAATTTATTACCTTTATTTTTAGGGAATAAATCTCTCTACTATTCAATCTCTTTTTTAAATTCGATAGACACTTTTTACTAGTTATCTAAGATTTTGTAACCCTCAAGAACCTAATCTTACTGATCACGCTGCCATCCCTAAGGATCAGTTAAGCTCGCGATGGGCAACAGTTTAATAAATCGTTCAACTTCGATTTAAAATAAATCGACATCAAATGCTGCACAAATCTTTCGGTGCAGAACATTTATGCTTTTTTTCTCCCCTAATGAAGGTTGCCTGTTTGTGGTTGTTGCTAGTTGCTGCCAAGTATTGCTGTTGTCATGCAAATTGGACTCACGTTTTGCACATTAAGCAACCGTCAATTGTTTCAGCAAATGCAATGATTGAGTTCTTGGCACCTGGCCAAGCCTCGATGGCCCTAAACCTCACTCACCGGGTTTTTTTTTAACCATAAGAACCCGCATGTGTTGCCTGGCGAGAGCTTGGCTAATTGGAGTGCAGCAGCAGCAGGCGGAGCAGCAACTACCAACCAGCAACATTGACCAACAGGAAGGAGACAGGGAATGATGCCTCAACTTCATCTCGATCTTAACAGTAAAAATGAAGACAAAAATATTTACCGTAACGCATTAAGAGAACAAGAACAAAAGTTACTGATGCTGCTGATGTTGCTGATGCTGCTGGCAGTTGCAAGTTGCACGTTGCTGTTGCAGTTGCTATCAGTATCAATAGTAATTTGAGGCAGCTCTTTGGGGGAGGAGAGATAGTGTCGTAGGTCAGGCAGCAGCAGTTTAAGCCGACTGCAATTTGTGGCCTACGAGCAGCAGCGGCACAGCAGCAGCAACTGCAACGAGCAACCAGCAACCAGCAGCAGCAACTGCAATGACGATTTGTAGCCAATTATTTCAAATATTGTATTGAAATTGTAGGCCAGAGTGAGTGTGTGCTTGTATCTGTGTGTGGTTATCTCTCGATTGGCATCTGCAGCAGGCCCAGTACTGGTATCCCTGCCCCTCAGACTCCTCAGCCTCCCCTCGAAGCCAATTTCCCCAATCTCACGTAGCCCGTTCGAGTGTGTCACAAGTGACCACTGCAAGTCCAGCCAGTCCAAGTGGTTGCCAATCGATGGCAAATCTCGAAACCAGCAGTCCGACTCTCGGCTAAGGTCGCAGACTCCGTTCGATTCCCACAACCTGACGCATCTTTGTCATGTGTCCGATTAATCACCACTCTTAGCCTCAACTTCACTTCCAGAACGACTTGACTTGGCCCGGCGAACAACGGGTCACGTCAACTGGAAGCAGCAACAGCAACAGCACGCGCTGACTGACCTTTGTTGCAGCAGCAATAGCAACAGCAACAGCAGCCCATCAGCAACAGCAACAGCTACAGCAGCAATCTGACATTCATACGTTAATTTTAGCTTGTTGCATCAGTCAGATTGCCGGTGTCATTGTCTCGCACTTACACTGCACAGCAAAGATGTTGCAGAAATCAAAATGTCTTGGGTCAAATTAACTTAAACGGGTTGTCTCTTGAAAGAAACTTTTTAAAATTTAAAGGATAAAGGATATATATGATAGATATATATAGATTTTTTTTGTATAATGGTAAATTGCTTACTACCTTTAACTATAACTATTTAATTTAGTATTTATTAAATTTCATGCTTACTATTAGAATATGTAAATCATCCAGGGAATTGTAAGTTTTATGTATAGGACAATTATTTATATTGCAGTTCTAATAATAAATCATTATAACAATTCTGCAGACTTGTTTATTGATCAAGCGATGACCAATTAACTGGCCATATAAAAGATGCTAGAAATATGTTTACGATACTTTAAGTATATGCCAACGCTTTATACATATATTGCAACATTCTAAGAATCATAATTCCGCTTTATGGGCAGTCAAGCCCACAAATCATAAAATCACCGCTGCTGCCTAGTGTGGATTGGTAATCATGCATTTAAAATTCAGCAGCACGATCAACAAAAACAATCGGCAAACGGCTAACAGCCGGTAACAAAGAAGCCCAAGAATGCGATGCAACGGCAATTGTCTGGTCTTGGCCAAGGCAAAAACTTATTAATACCTTATTAGACAAGGGTCGAAGTCGTCGTCGTCAATCCGTCTCCATGGAATATCAATGAGAACGGGCCACCGACGACCGCGGTGGCATTTCCGTTTGCCCATTTGCCCGTTCACCCGCCAACGAGTCCCATGGTGGCACCATGGGCGACAAACCAACGGTGACCGATCAATTCGCGTTTCGGCCTTTAGCTCGCAGTCGCAGTCACCGTCACAGGAAATGCAATCATAAATCGCCCATGATGACGATGACCATGGCTGAGTCCCTGTCCTATTCCCCGATCTTCTATTCCTCCGCACTCCCTAGGAAATCGGGCGATGTTTATGTTCATGGCCCGGCAATTAGCCTGGCCAAGATCTGGACAC